ATTCGATAAGACCTCTATTTTCAGTACAAGCGCCAATTGACGATTTGTAACTAAAGTGGTCATTTTTACCGCGTTAGGCGAGAAGAGAATAAACACTGAGAGACGAAAGTGTTCGTATGTGAATTACACATTCAACAAATTGCTGTTTGCATTGGTTTTACGTTGCATTTGCGAGCAATCGCACTTGGTCCCGCCACAACACTAACAGATCTATCAGCGTTTGGTTAAGCTCAGATTTCACCGTCGACGTAGTAAATAGCCCAAAGTGATCGAGGGAGCAGGGTTGGTATTGAGCAGTCTTTGCAGAAAATGATGATGGACTCGCGCGCAGCTCATGGAGCGGTCAGGCCGAACGTGCAACGCTGTGGTTTGCATAGATTTACGCTGTGAAAATATTGTTAGATTTCCGAGTGAGTTAATGAATGTCCGCATCATTTGCAGATGTACCTGCTTGTACGATATTAACCCACAGGGAAAGGTCCCCGTTGCACACTCATTATGGCGAAAATGCATAGGAAGGGTTTGACCTCTTTGTGTCAAAATTGTTTTGGCTGTAAATATTTAGTCATTGCAAATTTCACGCATGTAGCATAATGGTCACCATTAGCCCATCACATAGCTGATAATCCTTTATCTGACCGGCATTGTTTAACTGACAAATCTCTTGCTGACCATCATTAAGTTGACCATTGTTTAGCTGACAATCATTAAGTTGACCATCATTTAGCTCACCATTGTTTAACTGACAATTTAGCTAAACGTCATTGAATTGGCCATCAGTTACCTGACCATTCTCTAATTCTCTCCATTGTTTACGCTGACCATTGTTTAGCTGACAACCATTATGTTGACCATCATTTAACTCAACGTAGTTTAACTAACGTCATTGAATTGATCATTATTAAGCTGACCATTGTTTAGCTGACCATCGTTAAGTTGACCATCATTTAGCTAACCCTTGTTTAGCTAAACGTCATTGAATTGACCATCAGTTAGCTGACCATTGTTTAGCTGACAATCATTACGTTAACCGTCATTTAGCTCACTATTGTTCAGCTAAACGTCTTTAAACTGACCACTGGTTAGCTGACTATCGTTAGCTGACAATTGTTTAGCTGATCATCATTAAGTTTACGGTCACAATAGCTGACCATTGTTTAGTTGACCTTCAATTTAGCTGACCATCACTTAGCTGACCGTCCTTTACTGTGACAGTCTGCAAGCCAGATCGCATGAATATCCAATGTTGCTGCAGCTAAAGATGTATTCTTCAAAATCATAATAGACATGGGGCTCAATCCCTGTTTTCCAATAACATCCAAATGATTTCGTTTATGTTCTTTACTGATGGGGAACAAGGCTTGCGGTGATGTTTTCGATCAAGTGACGTGTTTTGATTTGTCCTCTACGTTTCGGTAAACAGCTCAGACCGAGTCTGGCTTTCAGGGATCAATGGCCGGTTTTGTGGGAGTATGGCTGCCTGGAAAGAGAACCATTTCGGAGAGAGTCGCTCATACAAAACACTCCTCCGGTTTTACTTTGAAGTCGAAAAAACCCCAGACTGTTCCCATAGAGCCGGAATATGTTTCTGTTCCATTAATACAAACCACACGATATGTACATTAAGACGGATATCTAAACCCCATGCCTTGTCATGTAGGATCACATAGAACTGTTCCTCGAACGTGGCGTTCTTTAATTTACATCGCTGTTGAAATATCCTTTGCTGACTTCAGAAGAATCGGTGTTATTAACAGTAAAAGGAAAATGATATGAAATTATAAACATTATATCATATCACTGTCATATCGGCAAGGCAGCAAACCCTTGTGTGACAAGTGTCCAATTTCTTTCAGATCTAAGAGGATTTTCCTATTTCTGTCACCCTTTTACAGACAGCCAACCTAATTCATCAAAGCGGGTAGATTCAGCGCTTGTAGCTTTTAGTAGGACAAAGTAAATCATTTTATCCCACAATATTCATTTTTTGTTACAACCCACAGTAGCCAAACGTAATGCAAGTAATGCAACCAAAAGAATATTACAGCGTCACTGATATATAGTCATTAGAGACGAGGTAATGTGTTTAGATAAAACTGTTTATCCTTACATGAAACGCTTACATGCAGATTCGAGAAATGAAATATACCTCTTGTTTAACAAGGGCACTTCCTCCTCGATGTAGACAGGTTTACCAAGTTATAAATTAGGTCTTTGACTTTGGAACATAAAATCTTCTTCTTCTTCAATATGATCATTACAGCTGAAAATGAATTTACATTTATATTTATGAAGCTGCCTATGAATCAAGGTTCAGTTGAATATTTAAATGAACGGTAAGTGCGAGGGATACACCTCCTAACAGCTTCAGAGGATTAAGAAGCTACATGTAGGGTTTGGACCCGTAACAATACTGACATTATTTTTCCTTGAAAGTTCATACGAAATAACTTTCAGCAAGAACACGTTGCGTTTTGCTTGATAAACGCTTCGCGTACAGGTAAAGGGCGATATTAAGCAGTTGGTTATCACGTCTACAAACACGCTGATTCAACATAGTTCAAATAATTTCACCCAAACTGTCAGGCAAAAAAGTCTACTAAAAACAATCACACTTCATTCTGCTTATTAGTTCCCAGATACATCATGTGGACGCCACCTCTCGCGAGATTTATTTTGAAATAATGCATGTGATATGACACTGGTATCAAATGTACAACCATGGATCAGCCATTTGTTGTCAACTGTATTGTTTGTTTCATTCTGAGTCACCACCAGACAATAGTATATGTATTCTATTGCCTGGTAGTGTTTTCCTTTCAAAACCTCCACCAGACTGACATGCATGTTGGCACTGTCACGACAACCTGTGCTGACTTATTATCCGGAACTTAACAAACAAGAAAGGACAATGCTGTCCAGCCACAATTTGACCATCTGACAAGACCCGATGTGAATGCATCCCCAGCACTGAGCTTCCTTGTCTGTGGACAAAGCTCACTAGACTATCAAAAGTATGCATGTGATGTTTCTTGTGAACTTCATACATACCAAGGTATCGCCAAAGCTTCCCTATTATCATGCAATGACTTACTGATGAGTGGTACAATGGCGGAAAATCGGTTGATGCGCAATTTCAGCACTCTTAGGGCGGAATTAATGAAAGTGGTCGGCTGGTGTTCTTCAAGCAGCCTCTGACGGACAAGACAAGGAAAATACCTGCTGTAGAAGATTTATTGATATTAATTGGCGTGTTTGTGTTCGGGTTCCAAAGTTCAGCGTGTTCATAGCTTCTATTTTCTGATGTGCAATTTGCATATGTATGGATTGCCTGCGAGATCTTGATAACACTGGTAATGGTTTTATCTCTGAATTAATTACCTTCTGAAGGAAATGCTTTGTAAAGGAATAATTGATTTACACTTGGAAATCTTATAGTTGCATGTGAATGTTTAAAACGGCAGGTTAAAAGATTGAAAAGAACTTACAAAGTATTTGGTTCTTGAGGGTCGAATGTCTGCAAGGCGGCTTTTAACAAAACTCTCTCAATCAATCACTTCTTCGGCAACTTGTGTGAGTGGGGAGTGTTACCGACAGGACAGGCTTAACCTTTTACCTTGTGTCATCGTCGATTTCAGTGATCTATTCATATAATAATTTTCAACGTTATTTTGCCTTTTACCCCGTGGAATCTGTTCACGCGCATAATCAAGACTGTTTATTCCCTAGCGTTGGCGTTTTATGTTTAATTTAACTAAATGGGGCATATTTCGGCAATAGAAATGGAGATTATGTCTGTAGATTCCAAAAAGTGGAATCCAGGTAACCTGTTCCTGGTGTAGATCTTTATGATCATGATGCCACACGGGTTGTTGCAATACGTTGTATTACGTTGCATTGCTATCGTGTATAAAACTATAAGACTGAAACACAAGACCCATAAAAATACGTACATGGTTCTGTAACTGGCATAACTAAGAGCCATAATAGAGCATGCAGTGTCAGTTAATGTTGACTCAGATTTCTCTAATCATCATTAGGAGAGAAATTATTTGGTTTTTATAGCTCTCAATGTCAGTTAGATACTTTGTGTGGTTTTGGAGCTTTCTTAACGCTTGTTAACGTTGAAAGCCTCGGCTGGTGAAATTGGTGATGGACAAGTCTAGATCGTGATTTTCTCGATGATGGCGTTATGTTGCTAAGACAACCGACGGACGGTAATCAATGTCAAGTTCTATTTACAAGCCAAAAATATTCTGGACAGTTTTTACAAACTATGTAATCCTTCATGTCAGACCGTTGAAGGCTCTCACGGAGAATGATGAAGTTTTTTTGTGACATTGTTACCGAAACTAGTTCAGCACTTCGTTCACCGGCATCGAATGTGTGAAGCGTTTGCAGAATGGTAGAATTGGTTTGAGTGATGCTGTAATTCGGAAGTCCCCTAGTTTTAGTACCATTGAGAAAATGAGTATACAAGGGCGTCGGCTGACTTTTGGCATTCGTCTCATTCATTATGTAGAGCGGTTCTATTCCTCTGACATGTTCTATGAAAATAGAACTCTCCAGTGCATGCTTTTTTCATTGATATGAATGAAAGTAAAAGGGAGTATGCTAGCTGTCCTACTTTTCTTTTTTCGCATCCATCATTCATCGATTTCTTATCGACTTGATTTGAAACAATTTGAGTATTCTTTTCGGATCGTCTCTTTTGCGTGTAACGGGCTTAGCTGAGCGTGGCGCAAGTCAATTTACAGGTCAGAGGTCGGGCTGAGAAGATTGACCTTTTAGACCTGCATATTAAATAGATCGAAGGGATCCACGAAGTGTGATCAAAGTATTTGTGATGCTTCTCTGATTCCTAACGCTTTCATTTCCCATCTCACCAAAGTCTGAATGATTTCACTGCAAATTTGATTTATTCTTTTCTGCTTCCTCACAACCACCAGAGATTGTGGTACATGCATTATTTAACCGGTTCTGTGTTTGTGCATTTTCAGGGCTTGTACATGAAGGAGGTGACCCCTTTCTCCAACTCGCCTGAGAAACACCAGAAACCAAGTCAATTAGGACAAAAGATCGTTCCCTTTGATCAACCGGACTTTGTTATTTGAGGAAATATTGGATCTCAGGGACCGTGAGTACAATTCCGCTTTTTATCAAATTATAAAAATGAATTCGCTGGGTACTTTTACTTTAATTTGAGAGTCTGCATCTTTTGGGCACGTGTCATGTTTAGAAAGGGCATTGGCAGACGCTTAATTAGGTACTTAGATGTATCAGAGTCTTTGACAGGTCCCGTATTTTAATTGAACTCATCGCGTTTTGGGCCTCCTAGCAACAAATCTTCTAACGAACGAAAAATCAAGTTTCTTGTCCTGGCTGCCCATTGAACAAGATAGGATTGTGGAAAAAGGTGGAGAAGGGATTATCAGAAAACTTTTGGATTGATTTCAATACGACACTGCAAAGTCGAATCATTTAAAGCAGATAGAATCTTATGAGGAATAAATCCCCAGAGTAATTTCTTTACCTTAAGAAAAAGGTTTATCGATGGGAAATGCCTTTTGCAGTAATGATTTTATACCAATTTCATTGAGGCGGAGAATACTGTTGTAATAGAGAGGAAAATGTGTGCTTAACTATCAGACTACTTTAATCTGTGTCAGAGATGCTATCCTAATGTTTCCTTCGATTAAGCCTACCTCGTCTTTGTGGTGTTGTATTGAGTTATGTATCAACGCGAGTCATCACTGTCGATGAAGTTCACGAGCCAATAAAGAACAGTCATATTGACAGAGCCTCAAAGACTTTGATTTCACTTAATGAAGTATTTTCTGAACTTACAAAAATAAAAAATTGTTGATGCAAAATTTCAATCAAAATGAAAAAGTTTGGAAATGTGCATTCTGCCACATATGGCCAGTGGAATCTCTCTTGATAATCGAGACTAGCTATTTCTTGTGTTCACGTTTAATATTTAATGATAATACGAATTAATGCATGTGAAGTAATAGTTAATGAATCATCAATAAAATCAAAGATAAAATATTCATTTGATCAATGTATATCAGGGACCGTAAATGTGGATCGGTATTGAAATTTCTGGATTGGTCAGTTTCTGGGTTTGACGAAATACTATACACCTTATAATTACGGTACGTACCTTTGTCATTAGGATGTAACTGTTCTGCTCTTTCTGCTGTAAATAGTTTTGACAGCATTTTATGTATCACTATCGCTGACACGACTTCACCCCTTAGGAAAAGTTTAAAAGTTGAGATCCTAGCTCAGACAAATTGTTCCTCGTTTTTCTCTGTTTCTCCTGTTTCTTATCTGAAGTAAATAATTTACATGTCTGATTACTCATGAGATTGTGATCGACCAAAGCGGATTGTTTACAATAAAAATACAACGGTAAAACATAGAGTCCTACAATGAATATTGAAATTGCCCATTGCCAAAAAAAATGAAATATTCAAGCGCAAGTTGTTGTTAAGTCAACCATTCTGAGAGTCAGAATCACGTCTCCAACGAGAAATGCTGTCTCCTCGAGCGAAAGAGCTCCAAAGATGTCTTCCATCTTGCCCATGTTATAAAGACTGTCGTTATCGGCAAATCATTAGAATTATCACCAGGAAGACGGCATGAGAGCGAAAAGAAGATTACCACATTCTCAATTATTGCAACAGCAATTACTCTGCCATCGTAGTAATTTGTAATTTCACGGATGTGTTAGGATATCGGTCTTAATCTTTGTCCTGTTGACGCTGTGTCCTGCATCGTCTGCAATCTTTTCGTCCCTTAAAAAAAAGATTGTGAGTGATATATGTAATCGAGTGTGTAAACTATTATTTGATTGTTCCCGAGAACCGCCCGGGGTAGGGCAGGGCTTAATGCCATTAATTTGGTTATATTTCTGGAATAAATCAAATCTAGTCGCTTGGGTTGCTCACCGTCAATGGTGCAGTGTTTGCAAGGCTGGACAATCTAATGACAGACAATGTCACAAATATAGCACCAATCCTCTTATGCATCGTATAAAGTTTGAGAAGAAATTAGAGCCGAAGTTAATCAAATTTTGCACACTCTTTTCAAAGGTTAATCTAACTTATGTTATCATTAATGTTGGTGTCTCTTGGCCACTCGGCAGAGCTCTTCGTAGGTCTTTGTTCGTGTCTCATTAGTTTCCATCTCATCTAGAGGTACAGGTCTTCTGGAATAGAAAATATTCCAGTTTAACCATTTAAACGTCAGACCCGATTTGAAACGACCACCTTGGATTTGAGAAATAAAATAGTGTCGATAGTTCATGGATTCTTCAAGTTTAACCGAGCGAAAAATGAATTTGTACTTTAGGTGTATCTGCAGATATTAACGATTGTGATTCTGATTGGATGTGATGTGTCCCAATTATGCGTCCAATCCCAAGTGTCAATGCTCATTGAGCAGTTATGATCAGTAGAGCGTTATAACCCTGTAACAAGTTGGGATCACACGTACGCTCTGCATAATAGCCACCAAACTACTGGCGAAGTGTGATAATTAATGTAAATCAGTTGAGAAAGTCACCATGACCTGATTCAAAAGGCTTGGGTTACAATTCCAACGCATTAACGCGTTTATGGGATTAGATGTGAGGGAGGCAATAATTAAGGCTCGTAGACTGGAGAACATGGCTGTTTCAATGCATGGTACTGAATTCTTAGTCAAACGAAGGTACTTAAAAGGGGCGGGGCTGTGCTCCACGGTTTAAAAAGCATTTCCTGCCTAGACATAGTGGTGTGTGCCCTCTGTAAAAGTGAGACATTCTGTAATTAGAACATCTGCAGCTGGTAGATTGGTATGCATCTTTAAGTTTGGATTTGCAGACAAAGAAAATTATGTTGTTGGAACTTTAACAAAATTTGCTTTGGTGACTAATTGCCCCCTTTCTAGACCCCTTTAAAGAATCGTACATTTATTTAAAACTGAAGGAATGCAACAGGAATGTCCATGCGTCATGATACTTTAAGCTTCATTATCAATATAAAACCTGCTTAATAACGGTTATGCTTCTTGTCTGATGATTTGTCCTTTTGTGAAAATATTAATATCAAACTGGGATTTCATGTTACCTGTAATGTTCTTATAAGAACATTATCTACGGAATATGATATATTTTGTATATGGTATTACTCAATCAGATATAGCAATCTTTGTTGCAATTTTTCATAGCATCACACGAAGACATTACCAGTATTATATGGTGTTGTCAGGGCACACCAGTGTAGTACCTTGTCTTGGAAGTCACTGGATTCCACATTGACGTTTCTTTATGAAAAAATGTTTTAAACATGTAGACCGGGAATACATATGACCTTGTGTGTAAGTTGCGTCCCTAAAACGTGTAAGGATCCGCAGACAATGGGTTCGAATTCGACTTTCCCCCTGATTTTGGTATTTGGTACTTTTAACACAACACCCGTGTTCTTGGATTCAAAAAGTGATAAGTGGGTCTACGTGGACGTTCCGTCCACAGCTTCAGTCTTATTGTTAGAACAGACTAACAGAGGACCATGCACGAAATATTATGATATCAATTTTTAGATTAGGAAAGCTCTGAGTGCAGACGCTACGTGGTAGCAAGCATTTTCTTACGTGCAGATTATTGACATAATCCATATAACCGATTGTTGGAATCCCCAAGCTCTGGTACAATGCACTCACTTGCACTGGACACAGCAGTGTTACATATTGCATAGGCATGCGTGAGTGGAAGCAATTGGATAAATGATACAATGGGTCTGTATATAGGGAAGTAGGTTACAGAGGTGGGTCTCTTATTCGATAATCCTACATAATTGATGTCGCGATTACACCACGCAACACTGTTAACGTGAAAGACACCGGCAAAACAAAGAAACATTGGTAAGCGTAAAACGTCAGGGGAAAGGAATACTCATTTTTCACTTTGCTCAGAAATAGTGTCCTTCTGCTGTAGAGGCTAATAGCCATGGAAATTAAATAATGGACCACTGAAAATCAATCATGACATCAGATGTTCACGAAAAAGGTAAGTATGCTCTGCCTTAGGGGTAGCACCCGCCATTCACACAATTTACCTTAAATATTTGTAAGTATTCACAGTCTTCTAAATATCCAACGGCTTGTTATGTAACGACCGTGAAGTACACAACATCGCTCAGCATATGAAATATATGTGCGCAACATATTATTGTATACACGTGTATAGACTAAACGCAAGGTTTTCTCGTTTATGCAAGGTTTTCTGGTGTCCCCGCCGTGATGTTGCTGGAATATTGCTAAAAGCGGCGTAAAACCAAATTCAGTCAGTCAGTCTAGTATATACAGCCTCTTAAGTACATACCTCTTCTTGTACACAGACTACGACTACGTCAGGTTTACAGAATGTCTTCTTTCATCGACGATGTCTTATAGTACAAATAACCTCTTTAGTGCATACAACGCATGTACAGAGAAACTGGATTTAGAAGTGGTGCAATACCTTTAAGGATCCTGTAGTTGTTCAGTGAATGTATCATACTTTCTGTAAATGCTTACTGCTTCAAGTAACGTCATCTGGTTTGCCCAATGTGCATATTCTAAACTTCTTAGTCTTTGATTAATGCTCTGATGATTATACATTTTGCAGTCGATCAAAATAACCGTCAGATTACCATCCCGATATGCAGTGATGATGTTTGTCGGTTAATCATTATGTTTACACGTTGAAACAGGATATTAAAAGATGATGAAGGTTGACATTTTACATTATTCTTGTCTTCAATTATATAGCTTCTGTGGAAATTTATGATGAGGCAGTTAAATCTAAATTGAGTAGCGATCTCATCAGCGTGGCAAAGTACTCTGTAATTACAAGGTCATTCCTTTTCATTTCTCAAACATTGCCCACACTGCTAAGGAGATTTTAACAATCACCTCTGGTCCAAGTTTCATTTATCTTCAACATTGAGGGTCATTAGTCTCTGATGAAAGAGGCAGATCAGCTGATTCCTAAAGGTGTCGTCTGCTACAGCTTATTCCTCAGCTCTCGTCTCCTGAAAATGGAAGAAAGCCGTTTGCTTGAACAACTTCATTTGACCAGAAGAGCAGAACAACGTCACAAGCTATGTT